CACTCTTTCTGCCAAGATAGTTTTGTCTGTCCAACCACTCTTGGAGTTGATAAGGCTGTCACTCTCCAGAGTGGAGGTCAGCCAAAGTAGTTGAGTGCAGAAAATTTGCCTCAGGCCTGGCGAGTAGAGTACATAGAAAGAGATTTGCAAACATTGGCTTGTCATAAAGACAGACAGGTAGACAAAGACAGACCTGGCAACACAACTAACTGCACACAGAAAGGGGAATTTAAAAAGAATGAATTCCGTTGTTTATTTGCATGCATGGTTTGAGTTGTTTTCCCAATTCACTAACAGATTTATGCAAATTCAGTCATGGTGCAAACACACCCAAATACTTGAAAATACTTGAAAATTCTCCATCTTGCGAATCGGTTCTGAGTGCTAGCTTGTGGTATAATAATTATTAGTAGTATCTATAATAACTAAGCCTAATTAACATAGAAAGCAGGCATGTTTCACGCTAAAATACTGCATGGTAAAGCGCTACACTCGTGAATTTGCCCCAAAGCGAACTACACCTCATAATCTCATGCTATAACTAAACACAAGCTGAACACAGTGGAAATCCAATAGCTACAAAGCCCTATGCATGCTTCTATTGATATGTTTTGTTCAAAAGTATGTACTGTTTACTAATGCATTGGCAATTTAAAACTTTGATTATAATGCCAATACTGCTTTTGAATCAGAATCTGAATATGATTTGCCTCAGGCCTGCCTGAGCAGACTGCAGAGACAGAGATTTTCCTTAAGCCTAGTGAATTGACCGCCAAAGCCAGAGTTCCACTGAAGATAATGAAGGCATTTATCATATGCCACTACTGTCAATGATGGACATTCATCACACGGATAAAGAGAGAGAGAGAGGCTGGCTAGAAATAGACACGGCTAGAAGTAGATACGCTTGCATACATATTCACACAGCAAAGTAACACAAGTCTACTTCCAAGACCTTTTCTTAATCGGTTTTTGTAAACTTATTTTCCAGTAAAAACAAGCATACTTAAAATAAGATACATTTATGTTAGATAACTGTATAAAATAAGACTTCTTTTTCAGAGAATATACCTTGAATTAATTTTTTTTCTTTTACCTCACAGAGCTTCTTGCTGTATGCACAACTCTGCTATTTTTAGTGAGGTTTATGCTTAAAACAAGTGGAGTAACTTCAATGTATATACTCTGAAAACAGTCTTATTATATTACTTTTGTTTCTTGCCTAAATTTATCTTGTTTTAAGGATGTTTAGATATTTTTACTGTAAAATACTGATTAATAAAAGTATTTGTAGTATAAGAATCCATTTAGAACAAATCAAAAGAGTTCAAATGAATATGATTCATTAGGGAATCTACGTACAAATGTGCATCTGATTTTGAATCAGCAATCCAATCTTTAGTGCATTACTTCAATTGGTTTGATATGAAATAAGCTGGCTGCCACAGGATTGCTCTGTTTCAAATGTGGGAGCTCTGACCATGCCAGTTAACATGCACAAACCAGCTCGAGGCGTGCCTGGATATTCTCAATTATAAATGATTTTCATATTTCCTGAGTTTAAAAAACGAGACAGATGGAGACCACTTAACGAGTCATGGCTCTCTAAGAGAAATTTTACTGCACATTACCCTAATGGACTTCTTTTCTCTCTCTCTCTCTCCCTCACTCTCTCAATCCACTGTCTCTCTCTTTCTCTTAATCTTTCACCCACCCTTATTTTGCTTTGCTCTCTCTCTCTCTCTCTCTCTCTCTAACATTGTTGAGAGTTAATTACTGTCATTTACCTCTGCTGTGGCCGTTAAGCCGATGTCCGTGACCATGCTGCGAGTAGCTGTACACTCTTTTACTGTAATTACCTGCTAACGTACGGCTGCCAACTCAATGTTAGAGAAGAAGCTTCTGTGCTAATGCTTTTCTTTTCCCATCACACACACCCTTTGACCCCAGGATGTGTCTGTTCTCAACCAGTCATATGCTGATTTCACACACACACACACACACACACACACACACACACACACACACACACACACACACACACACACACACACACACACACACACACACACACACACACACACACACACACACACACACACACGCACACGCACACAGACACACACACATACCCCACTTGTCCATTCATGTGGAAAACAGTAGCATTCAATGCAGAATGACAATGTTTAAACAAAAACATGAAATATGGAATGTCAGAAAGACATAACAAATGATCTGTCTATAGCTAATAAAGTAGATAAGCAGAACATCTCATGATCTAGTCTTGAGTTAACAGTGCAGATGTGTGATTTGACCAGTCTTTTGTCAAGTGCTAAGTCTTTAGAAATTTAGGAAGGAATTTATGGGTCATATTTCACCCCAAAATTAAACAACCACAATACAAAGTTATTTTAAAGTCATCAAGTTTCTAATTGTGACATTATACTCATCACTGTAATACAAAAATAAAAAAAAATTATAATAAAAATAAATAAAAGCAAAATAATTGAAAATATTGACATTGATTAGTTTTTATTAATAGTAATAACTGTTAGGGGTATATATATCGACTAATGGAAGTTATTCTTTCAAAACATAAATCATTAAATAACACTGCTAAATATAAAGCTTAAAATTTATATTTTAAGATGTTATATTTATATTTTAAAATTTTCATACTGTAATGGTATATTACTTGTATTATGTTGTGATCGTTATATTCATTTGTAGCATTTAAAATGACAGATTTTAGTTTTTAATGATTTTACTTTTAATTTATTGCATTTTTTAACAACCACTAATCATTTATCAATCATAACATGAAAGTAATTATTGGTTTATTGGTATTGGCCAGGATTTTAATATTAGTGCATCCCTAATAATAATAATAATAATAATAATAATAATAATAATAATAATAATAATAATAATAATAATAATAATAATAATAATAATAATAATAATAATAATAATAATAATAATAATAATAATAATAATAATAATAATAATAATAATAATAATAATAATAATAATAATAATAATAATAATGTCACAATAAAAAAATAAATGCCAAAACATATTTTAGAACAAAAAAGACAAAATTCTTGTCAATACCATATTTCAGAATTAAGACTTAAGACTTTGAGACATGGTCACAATCACACCATCTTTCTAAAATCTAAATCATCTTAATCAATATGCATATGCTGTTTCTACATCTCTAATTTTGGGGTGTTAAAATGGTTTATATCTTACAAGCACATCGCTGTTTGTCTTGAGGACAAGTCTCGGCGTGTCTTTGGACAAGCTGTGGTGCGGAACGCCCTCCTCCTCTCTGGCCTAAAGGAAAAACATAATGTCCCTTTTTATGCAAGGCCAAAACTGAGGTGAAAATACACACACATAACAGATGTAAAAAAAGAAAGAAGGAATGATGTGAATGGGGAAATGGAGTGAGAGAATAAAAAACAACGTGCTGACCTGAATAGACATATAGAGAGAATAGACATTCTGTGTGAGTGTGTCTGCCTACATTCAAATTCTGTAATCCAAGGTTATATATTAGTATGGTAGACTGAAACAAGAACAGTGTTCAATTATATTAGATTCTTTCAAAAAACCTTGAAATATCTCAATTAAAAGCTGAAAAAATTCATTCAGAAATATTCTAGAAAATTAGGGGAGAAAGCAGTGCTGAAACACCCACAGACAAAAAGAAGCAACACTAAAATAAATGAAATATCATAAAATAACACCGAAACCATTAAAAGAAAACAGTGTGAAAAACAGTAAAAAGTGTGTTTTATAGAGTATATAAAACATATTTTTGTCTCTGAGCTGTCTACCTGAGTTCCTGAGTGCCACTGCTGACAGAAACCTCACTCACAAAAACACTGAAGAACATCAGTCTGTGCACAAACACACTTGTGCCATCTACTGTCTTTATTTTGTGTAGTGTCTGTGACCCCTCTGGACTTGAGCCAACTCATTTACATATAGCACTAATGAGGCTGCTTACTCTACACTAACACACACACAAATGGCATATCCGCAGACTTAATGACTTGAAGCATGACGGTGCTCTAAGAAATAACCGCACATGCCATTCATATACACTGTGAAGCCTCTTTCATACACACAATCACATAGATGAAGCCACATGCAGACACACTAAAGTCAGTGAACCTGACGGCTTATTAAGTAACCAAAAACTGCAGAGCTGGATAGTGTACGTGTGTATGACAAGACAACTCTGTACCTCTGTATTGTAAAACATGCCCCAAAATTCTGCAGTGTGTGTGTGTTTGTTATGCCACCTGGGCTTCAGCATTTCAACCACATCTCTGCCAGCCACCATCTGGGCATCACACAAACCAACCCAGGTGTGTGTGTGTCCGCACATTGCCAGGTAAAATGTATTTCTCCAAGGACATAGATGGGAACACATATGAGGCACATTCTGGTGTGAATGTGCCTCACATCCCCCCCCACACACACACACAAACACATACACACACAGCTATCTACCTACATACCTACCTATCTATCTATCTATCTATCTATCTATCTATCTATCTATCTATCTGCTGAAAAAAAACGTTTTAATTTGCTGAAAAATTTAGATACATCATGTGTCATTTTTGCCAGCAGATTTCACTTGTCAAATCGAAATCAAGTTCATTTGTAAAGTGCCTAAAAATCCATCCATGGCATATCTAAAAAGGAAGAGGTTTTGTTTTACTATGTCATACAGCAATGCATTTGTTAGTTGACATTAACCCATTAACTTTATATAAGCATTTTTCCACTGCTCTGGGGCCTCATGTATAAACGTTGCGTATGCACAAAATGGGCATAGAAATGTGCATACGCTGTTTTCCACGCACGTATCTGGATTTATAAAAAATTAACTTGGCGTAAATATGTGCGCACCGTACGGATGCTCTTGACTGTGCGTATGCACTCTTTTTCCTGGAGTGAGAAAAGTAATGAAGTAAACAAGGATTTTAAACTCTGTTTTCATTTCAATATACACATTTACATTAAATATTCCACTCTCATTAATAGAGATAAGCACTGAAATTACATAAAGTCATTACGCAGAAGTTAAACCAAAATTAGGCTATATGAATTTAGACATTTGTAGTTGATGCGCTTAATCACTTTTCCTGTGGCTTGCAATGTTTTAATGACAGCGAGGAGTGCTATAATAATTACGCAGAAGAACCAAAAAAAGTATATGAATATAGACATATTTGTAGTTGATGCGCTTAATCACTTTTCCTGTGGCTTGCAATGTTTTAATGACAGCGAGGAGTGCTATAATAATTAATATTTAAACTAAACTGCAGATCTCATGTTATGAGAATTTTTTTAGCAAGAACAATGATCAATGATGCACACTTACTTCAATATTATGGCGGACACTGCTGGGTTTGAATAAAAGCTACAGTACAACCGCAGCTGCACAGAGGTCACAAAGGCGTCTCCACAACATTATGAAAAATACCACTGTATTTGCAGGATACAACTTGGAGAAGAAAAAAAAAAAACGGTAAGATTTGCGTGTTTCCTTTTTAAAATACTTTGTCAGTGATGCACTGAGTCATACAATTGTATTTACACTGCAATACATATAGGCTTATTTCCACTAAAAATAGCTAAAAGATGTTCACCTTTTCAGCAAAACTGCATACATTTTTTTTATTTGAATTGTTTAAAACAGTTGAAATACTATTTGGCCAGTGGAAAAGAATGATGTCAAGTATATTCTAAAATAGGCTTATTTGAGAACTAAACAGTTTTGTTTTTATGGATATTTTGATATATTCTAAAACATTCTGGATGATTTTGGCAATAAAAAATTAATGTGGCACAAATGGCATTTAGTCTGTATCTCATATTTCCTTAACGTCTTGTACCTTTGACGTTAAACATGGTGTCACGTGGATGGGAATATGCATGGAAATGATATGCAGATGAGGTTATGCATAGTAAAACTAGGCGTTATAAGCTCCATATATGGTGATTTTGGGGAGGGGACGCATGTACGCACAATCTTCTGCTGACGGGATTTATAAAAGGATTTTTGCACAGGTTCTGGCATACGCATGGTTTTATAAATCTGAAAACTTTTGTGCGTACGCACACATTTAGGATGAAATCTACGGAAAGTTTTATACATGAGGCCCCTGACATGTTGCCCAAGGTGCGTCCGCTAATATGTGAATGGCTAGAGTGGCTAAGTCTATGTATGTGTGAGACAGCTGAGAGTGTGTATGTTTGTTCTCCTGGCTAGAAGCTATGAAATAATCACCCTGCACTGTGAGTCACAACGCCATGGCAACAAGACCTGAAGAAGCAGAGGCCCAATAGCTTCAGCACTTGCACACACACACACACACACACACACACACACACAGGTAAAAGAGTTTGTTTCTGAGACAGAAAACTTGTACTCCAACGTTCAAAATAGAAATGAATAAATAAGTTGCATGTTTGTAAGCCTGTAGTAATTAATGTATGCATGTTCTCATTTGTTATTATGAGTATATTAATGAGATATGTCTGTATAAATCAACATCACCATTTACCAGCTGATAATTTAAGCTCTGTCAGATTTTAACACTGTAATCAAATTTAACATTTAAGAGTTACAATTTCTCCTGACACACACACACACACACACACACATGCAGGAGAAAAGCACAGGCAGAATGAAGCATGAATGAATCAGCAGATGAAGACATTTCTTCATCTGGATTTGTGGATTTAGAAGTATTGACTTGGTTAATGGTTAGAGAGTCAGACTTGTAACCCAAAGGTTGCAGGTTTGAGTCTCTGTACCGGCAGGGATTGTAGGTGGGGGGAGTGAATGTACAGCGCTCTCTTCCATCCTCAATACCACAACTGAGGTGACTAAACCAAATGGCTGCCCACTGCTCCAGGTGTGTGTGTGTGTGTGTGTGTGTGTGTGTGTGTGTGTGTGTG